GAAGACAAGGCCCATTGTGTGGGTTTTTTGGGCCAATTAAGGTTTTGAGATCATTGTGAAGTTGTCTCCTCACAAGGTAAGGAGAGCAAAATCCCCTCTGATAGAACTTTACAGAATCTGGACAGGATTCTTCCTTCTCCCAACTCCCTCTTGTATCTGGCAGTCAGGGAAGACATGGCCCTAAAAACACAGGCAGCAGCTACTGCAAGTACCTGAATAAGGATTTATGGATTCCTGAAGCTGAGGTGTGAAAAGGAAAAGCCTGATTTTTATCCCTAACTCCCTACTGATCTCTTAAGCTCCTTTATTCTGAGGCTCTCAGAGGTGCTTGGCGTCACCGAAGTAGAACTTTTCTTTCCTCTGATTTTGCTCCCTGTCCTGTAGCATGGCAAAAAATGGTTTTATCTGGGTTCTTATGGATCTCAGAGGTCATGGCTGCTGCAGACTCCAGGAAGAACCTGTGTTTGTGGGTCCATCAGCCCAGAAAATGAAGCTGCAGTGGCCAGCTGCAAGTCATTGATGAGCTCTTGGCTGCTCCGCAGAAACCACTGTGACTTGTTAAATGTACTGAGGGCTGTGAAATAAACAGGTTTGACAGCTGCTCTCCCCAGATTGGGCTGTTCTTGTCTCAGTTCAAGAATCTCTGCTTGACAATATCAAATTGTCTAATCCAAGCTAAGCAAGAAGCCCAGGAATGTTTCTAGAAGCATCTTTGATTTAAAAAACTAGATGTCATTCTGTAAGCTTTCTCATGCGTGTGTTTTCTGTTTTTTAATATTCCCTCCCCATAAATCAAATCATTCCACTTCTATAAGTAAATTTCCCTCTGACATTGATATTGAGGAACAAATGGAAGCATCATTTTTGCTGATTCTCTCCACTCCTGTTGTTTGTGGTTCAAGTCTTGGCTATGTATTCAAGACTGCATTATTATTTTTTAATCTAAACTATTTCTTCCATAGTAGAGAGGATTGTTTTGTTACTTGAAATTACAGAAACATCTTGGTTATAAAAGCTGAAGAAAGAGAAGCTTAGAAGTTCTAAGTGTTTGATACTGTTTAATGAGTCTACTAAAAATAGGCTTTGTAAAGAAGGTAGCAACTCATTCTGTAATACTCCTAGTCAACAGCAAAAGCCATAAAGTTTTTTTTTACTGAAATGATTAATGGCTGCATATCTAAAGTTCTGCAAATTTTTGTAATGCTCAGCAGAATCTATAATTTTGAGAGAATATCTTGTGTTCCTGCTTGTGGAAAGAGCTGTTCTTTAATCTGTTTTGTTTGCTGCCTTGCCAGCCAAGCTAAAAAAGTGAGCAGCACCATCAAGCTGTGCTAATGGTGTGAGCCATTTCCATCCTCCAGCATCCCAGATTCCTTGTCTGCCATCATCCCTGCATGCAGTGAGTGTGTGCATGTGTCAGGAATGCAGCATTGGGCACCAGTCCTGTACCCTCTGAAGACACTCTGTCCAAAACAAACACTCAGTTCCCTGTCAGTGTAATTTAGTTGATAAATATCTTAACAGCTTTCTGGGGAGGAACCTCTGCTTGTGTTCTGCAATGTACCAAAAGCATTTTTAGTGATCCTGAAGTTCTTGGACATGAGGGCCTGTAGTGCTGTTTGTGCTTTGATGGTGCCAGACCATGTAGATGCTTTATTGTTTGCTTCCCCCAAAAATGTGGTGTGATAGACTGCTCAGAGACTGGGCCTTTTGTTTAATATTTTATGGGGATTAAAGAGAAGAACAACAGATAAAACCACTGTCCATGAAATGAAAATGAGCATTCTAATGTTTATTGGTGTTAAAGACCAGGACACTTCATTGTTCCTGCTTGGCGTTACTGATAGCTGTCCCTGTTGTATGTCCATGGGTAAATCCTTGGGCATTTTCTGTTCGTATCTTCATCATGATCACATGTTCTCAAGGTACAAACTCCAGTCCAAAAGGAAATGATTTGGTGAGTGTGTGAATTAGAACACAGATTGCAGGAGAAGCAGCAGCATCACACCATTTGTTTAGCTCTCATGTGAAGCTGTTGTCTTCAGACAAACTCAGTATTGAGCAAATGTATGGATATGATTTTTAAAAATACGAACATTTGTCTTTGTTACTTTATATATGTAGCATATCTGCATACATAATACACATGCAAATGCAAAATTGCCTTTTAAGGCTCCTTATTTAGGAAAGCACAGGGCCATTTGTTTTAGCCCTGATTTGAAGGTGAGTTAAGGAGGTGCTTTGGTGCTTTGCTCATTTGGAGAAAGCCACATATAATGTGTTGGCCAGTGAAAGATGTACAGAATGGTGTGCTGCTTCCATTGTCAGCTGTCCTTACAGTAAGGCCTGTGGGGAAGAGTTGGACTTGGAAAGAAAAGGAAGAATCTCCTGAAATGATGTGGTTTGAGGAGCTCTGTAATACCAGCTGTGGTGTTGGGGTTGTCCCTCTGTGCTATTGAATAAGTTTCTTTGACTTTGAAGTCACAGAAATTGCTACATATTTTAATAACTAGCTAACTAAATAATCCAAGTGGAAGAAAAAAGATGTATTTTTGAATTTTACAGTTCAAGATAATTTTTTCTCAAGTCACATTTTGAAATCTTTATTTGAAGATGTGAAAGAATTCATTAAATCCACCTTTATAACAATGTGCCTCCGTGGTGATGACACATGCTCTGACATTAGTAGTCTGCAGTGAAACCAAAAGGAATTCCTTGGAGCAGGGTTGGGCAAGTGGCTTTTTTCCCTTCCTCAAGAATCAGATGGAAATGTGTGCCCCAACATTGCCATTGGTGGCAGAGTGGCTGCTGTTTGTGGGAACAAGGATGACAGATTTGTTGGGAAGGAAGTTTGGGATCTGTGTGAATTATTTCTGTCTGGAGATGGGAGAGGAGGCAGGACATGGTCTGAGTCCAGCTCTGCCCTTGACTTGTCCCATGCAGCCCCCTTTGAATTCAGAGGGAATTATCTCCAAATAAATATCAGGGTGGATGCGCACGAGTGAGTGAGAATGCAATCACCTGATGTGGGATCCCCATAGTGAGGTGTTGACTCATCTTTTCATGTGTGGAAAGCTATTCTGCAGCCTTAGGAGCAGTGCTTTCAGCTGGGGAAGGCATGGAAGCACTTGTGTGAAGTGCTTTTCCAAGGAGGGATTTTTTCCACAGTCAAGTCCTGTGCAAACTTGAAGTGCCTTTGATTTAGGGAAGGGGGGAGTGAAGCAGTTTCAGGTGCTGCTGTCTGTGAATGACACCCTGCACATGGAGCCCCTGTTCTGTTGGTCCTCAGGCAATACTGTGATAAAAAACAATGCAAACACCTGCACTTGGATCCACCTGCTGAGCTCTGTCTCTTTGCTCCCTGTTCTGTAACTTCGGGAGAAGGAGGCAGGGACTTTTCTGTGCTTTGGCTGCTGTGTTGAGAGGCACAAACAGCCAGAGCTGCCAGAACAGAGACAGTGAAGCTGTCCTTGTGTTGGGTTCCTGCGTGCACAGACAGGTTGGGGGAGGCAGGAGAAATCCCTTTCCCTGCCTTGCCTGCTCTCTTGCATTTACTCTTGCTCCTCCTGTTGTGGGGACATAAATTGCTTTCGTTATATTAACATGATATTTATTTCTCATTATTTTATTGAGTTCATGTCCCAGCAGCTTCTAAATTTCAGGCTTAGTGTGCTAATGAAGTTTAATTGTTCCCTACCCAGATAATTTGTACTTATAAATACACTTTGTTTTTTAACTAAAGGAATTCTGGGGCAGGAAAATGCCCAAGTTAATTCAAGGTTTGCTCTTTAACATTTGCAGCTGCTGTGCAAAATGCAGGCTGAAGCTGTAGTTATCTGTGTTAGCAACAACAAAAAAATTGCCTTTTTTTTTTTTTTTTAAATTGTGAGATACAATTGTGTTTGTTTTGCACTTTCTAATCTTGAAAACAGAAGCTGGGCAGAACTGGTTGGCTCTCCTCACCTCTGCTTCTGTAAGGACTGGAACCAGTTTAGTTGGGGACAGGTCAGCAGTGTGAAAGTTTTGTTTAAGATCTTTCTCAACTATGTCAGTGTTGTTTCTCTTAACTTGTTTAGCTTTTTTGTGCTGGGTTTGTGAAGGTAAAACATGGCTTAGCCCTTAATGTACAACTGTTTTGGCTTCAATCTAACAAAGCTATAAATAGGCTCCCCTTTGCCTCCCTAGCAGTAGGAAATGACTGCAGCAGGTGTTGTCCTCTGCTAGAAATTTGCACATTATTACTACCCAAGTACTTTTTTCTTAAAATCAGCTTTTTTGTTACGTGTTCTTCCTTTAATAAATGCCAACTGACGGGTCAGCAAGTATCTTGTTAAAATCTGAAGTCTTCATTAGGTCAAAAGAAATAAAACCAGAAAGGTATTTTTGTTTTATTTCTGTGCAGCCTCTGTGTAAAGTTTATTTTACATGCAATTTAAAAAAGTATTACCAGAAGGCACAGGAGAGCTGCATAAAGCTGACTGAAATGGTTTTTATTCTTTTGGCTTTGCTGGGCTGGATTTTAACTCAGGTTTGTAGCAGTTCCTCTGTGATAGGACTGGCAGATGCTTGGAAGTCTGCAGGCAAGATTTGTGTCCATGCTTGGATTGAGTTCTCCTTGCACTGCAGCATCAAGAAAATAAACAGGGTTTTTGTGCAATGAGGTCATGCCTAGAGTAAATCAGGATCTTGCAGTCTGGTCCATGTGAAATGGGTTTGCTGTGTCAGTAACAGCTTCCCCTTGATCCAGACCCCATCATTTGGTGCTTGGTCCCAGCAGAGAGCTGGGGATGTTTGGGCAGGGAGAATCAGAATCCATGTTTGTGCTGCTGAGCCTGTTCTGCTCAGGAGGGAGGAGAGCCTTGGCCCCCTGCCCCTGTGGGTGCTGCAGGAGGAGTGAAACCAGGGCAGATGTGCTGTGCCAACAGCAAAAGGGGGCACGCTCCTGTGTTTCAGTTCTGTTTAACACTCTGTGCCTTTGCACCCCTTCCTTTGTCCCACAGGTGTGAGAGCTGTGTGGAGCTGCTGTTTGTGAGAGGGGCTGGCAACTGCCACGAGTGTGACACCCCCCTGAGGAAGAGCAACTTCAGGGTGCAGCTCTTTGAGGACCCTGCTGTCGACAAGGAAGTGGAAATCCGGAAGAAAGTGCTGAAAATGTGGGTGCCACCATTTAAAATAACAGAAAGTGGATGTATTTCATGCATCAAAAGTTTTAAGATTTGACTTGTTCAGTAGTACAGAGGAGATTTTAATTTTTTTTAAGTGACAAACCATAAAAGTTGACTCCATTTATCATGGAGGGATTTCAGAGAATCTGATTTTGTGCAACAATTGAGAGCTGAATTCTCAATTTAGCCTTGAGGGATTCCTGCTTAGCATTAGAAAATGTTGAGTGTTTCTATGTGGCCTTCTTTGGCAAAGACTTGGCTCCAAAATGGAGATGATTAGATATTGAGGGGGTGAACATGGCAGCAGAGCCAGAAACAGGACCTTGATTGTTCTGTTCCCTGGGGACCTGTTCTGAGAGTTGAAGGCCAATTCCCTTCAAAATCAAAATGGGCAAAAGAGAGTTCACATGGTTTTTTGCTTCACACAGCAATTGTTAGTGGAAGTGGTTCCTTGCAAGCCTGGTGTTACCAGTCTGTCATGCAGATTTGAAAGCTCTTAAAATTGAGATAAATGAGGTCTGAGATTGCATCTCACTCCTTGTGGCCAGTAAAGCAGCATTTTATAAGGAAAATATGGGAGCCAGTTGATGTTTTAATAGAAGAAAATCTGATAAATGTAACAACCCAGAGAGAGCTGTGTGTGCCGAAGTGAACTTACAGGTAAATTATAAGCTTGTCAGCCTTTATCTAAAACTTGGGACAATAGTAAATGAATCATATGTTGATGAAAGTGTGCCACTGAATACCAAGCATGGGAAGCAGTATTTTGATGTTGGATTTTAAAGTCTATTGAAGTTAACAGAAGTCAAACTGGAATAAGTCAATTAAACATGGAATAAAGTTTAGTTAGAAGAGAAAATGCTGGAAAATTCTTGGCCTACTGGGGTTTGCCAGATTAGTTTTTAGGAGGCAGAAAAAATGCCCTCAAATTGGAACATGGCCTCAGTTGGGATTTTTGTATTCCTGAGTGTCACACTCCACAGATCAGACAGAATCTCAGCTTTATATTTTCTTGGGAAGATAGTCTGCCTGTCTTGGCTTTCAGAAGCTGCCCATGTTCTAAGCCAGTTGTCCCTTCATCTTTTTACTTTCTCCAGCTCTGAAGAGGTGAATGTGAGTGCTGGAATGGCCTATTGATATGAGATGAGATAATTGTGTAGCATTTTCAGTTTGCTGCTGACAAATGCTGTCTGTTGTTGGCACAAAGCCAAAATCCCTTTTCTGATTGTTCTAGAAAAGCTTTTTATTTTTTGTTCTCTGTGGGTGTTGCTGTTGTCTCTGCCTTTGTTAAGAGGCTGACTGGGAGTTACTCTGTCTTGGCCTCTGTGCTCATGTTTACCTGTAACCCTGGAAAAGGAATTGGCAAACAATAGGCAAAGATAGCAGAGATTTCTTCCAGGTTCCTCCTTTCCTTTGGAGCAGGCACTTCTGTCTCCCAGTGAAGATTCTGGTCAGTTTGGGAGTCACAAAGCACACAGCAGATAAAAGTAGATCAATGCTTAATCAGCTTGCAGCAAAAGCTTTGTTGAATGGAAATTGCTTCTTTCTGTGTTTTATAAATACTTTTCTTTTCTCTCAAAGATACAATAAAAGAGAGGAAGACTTTCCCACTCTAGAGGAATATAATGATTTCTTGGAAGAAATAGAAGAAATTGGTAAGTCTTAATGCTTGAATTTTTGATGTGCTGTGCTTGTGAGACCATAGGCTTTTATCTTCTGACTCAGCTGCCTATGAGAATGTCTAAGTTCAGTTTCTGTAATATGATTTATCACAGTATCAGATTTTTATCTAATTACTTTTTTTCTGGATTTAATCATATTTGTTGAACTGTAGGACATTGTTAAGTAAAACATTTTATCTGCCAGAGAAAAAACACAATCCAATGAGGAAACCAAGCTGGGAAAAAAAGGCTTGCAGGGGACTGTCAATGCTGCACTGGCAAAGATTAAACAAAGAGAGGAGAAATTGAAATTTTCATTATATCCCTCCATTAGCTTTATCTACCATGACAGAAGCCATATGGTGTCTTTCATCATTTTTGCTTCTGCAAGTACAGTAGTTGAAGCTGCTTTGAAGCTGCTGACCTTACATACCACTGTGGTAGCATTTTATGTTGCTGTGCAGAAGGAGAAGGTTTAGGAACAGACGTGGATTTCTTTCTCTTTGGATTAGCTGCAGCAGAACTTTGCCCTTTGGGGAAGGGACAATGTTATCAACAGAGTTTATTTTCTTCTTAGTTAGGGTGACTTGTGATTTATGGTGGAGTGATGGGTTTTGCTTAGAAAAACAAGGATGTGTTCAAAGGAGTGACTCCTAAATGGTTTGTTCTTGGTTTTTATGAGCTGCTGAGGCTTTTCTTTTTTTTTGACCTGGAGGAAGAAGAGGTGACTTAGAGACTGCAGGAGGGGCAGTGAATGTGATTTGGAGGAAACCATGGAGATGACACTTTTCCTTCATTTTTCTCAAAGGAACCTTTGCTGCTTTTTGCACTGTGGTGTTTTGTAGAAATGTATCCAAACACTTACTGCTGTGAGCAATGGATCATGTTTTTGTTGGCACCAGGATGCTGAGGCTGGGAAACACCAGTCACACTCACATGGTCCAGATATCTGGAGGAGATGATGTGGGTGTAGCTTTGTTTGTATGTTTTTTGGAATGGTGTGGGGGAAAGGAGGGAGTGAATAGAAAGAATGGCCAGAGGATCCTGGAAGAATCTGTGTGCTCATGGGAAGCAAAACTGCTTTTTTTCATGTAGCATTAAATATAATTTCCCACTTAACTGCTGTTGCAGGACTTTTTAACATCTCTAACAAGGGAGTTGAAGTTTTGCCTGAAATTGTGTGAACCTCATGAATTTGTGCAGGATGTGAAGGTTTTATAGCTCTTGGGATTAGGTGGTTACATTGCAAATGGTTCCTAATCTTGTACTGGGAACTCGGTTTTAGAAGCAGCAGAAACCTGGCTGGTCTTGGTAACCTTATGAAAAAAAATTATTTGGCCAATAATTGTTTTGGCCCTGCAAATGCATAGTGAAGAAGCTTGATAGAGTTTTTAGGAACTGGAGTTAGTTACCTGAGAGGAACACCTAAAATACTAAAAGGAATTGGGAGTTCAGCTGCATCCTAGTTCATTCATGTGGCTGCCAGGGTGGTGAGAGGAAGGAAGGGATGCAGTCAGAAGCCTCTTTAATTTTCGCTGTCCCTGAGTTCATTTATGAAATCCCAACTCCAGACAGACCCCAGAGGACAGGCTGGATTCAACAGCACCACTTTAGGCAGGAGTTCAAGCCGTGTTTGCTCTCCCTGGTGACAAAGCCCATTGCACATTTGTCCCCAGGCCCATCCCTGCTGTGGTCCTGGGCAGAATCCCCCACCTGGCACTTGTCTGATGTGACATTTTCCAGTGCGTGTTGTGAATGGTGTGACTGTACAGAGTGTTAAAAGCCATTGTCTCTGTATGATAATTTCACACTTTACTGCTGAGAGGAGTTATTTCATTTTTGTGTGTCTCTGAATTCCCTGCTGGCTTGCTCATGTGGAAAACTGGGCTGCAAGATGGGAAAGAAAGGATGTTCAGGGCAGCTTTGCCTTGTGGAGCCAACATTCAGCAGACTTGCAGTAGCTGCTGGTGCTTGGGAAGGTTTCCCCTCTGCTCATGCCCCAAACTTTTTCTGTGAGAGGGTCAAAGTGCAGCTTCACCTTTTTTTCCCTCTTTGCTGGAAGGTTTTGTTTCTGGAGTTGTTTTAGAGGGTTTTTAATGAAGTAGTTGCTTAGCACACACAAAATGTAAACATCCTGTGAAGGTGTATTTCTTGTGACCCTCATTCTGATAGGTTTTCCAAATATTCCAGGTAGGTCAGCTCCAAAACTAGCAATGGGATGAGACATAGCAATTGCTGGCCTCACTTAAAACACATTTTCCCCCTTCATATCAGCTGTTTTTTACCTACAGACTTTTTCTATTGAAATAGAGGAGTTGGATGGTGCAGCAGCAGTGTGTGTGTGTGGGAAGGTCAAACAAACATTAGGGTAGTCACCTTTTAAGATTTCTATTATAAAAACCAGGTTTTTGAAGTGGTTTAGAGTGTAGCCACTGAGTAATGCTTTGGGCTAAGATGTGTTAAACAAGGCTTTAAATAAAAACCATATTTTAAAGCGAGTTCTCCCCAGAAGAAAAATCAGTTGGGCAATTTGAGAGCATTGTAAGCACAGTTTGTTGTCATTAGCACTAGGAATAAAAATACAGTGAAAGAGTTAAAACCTGCCTTTGGGAAAGGTGTGGGCGACATGTGTCTGAGTGAGTCAGGACTGTGCCCACATGGTAACAGGGACCTGGTTAAACCTTTGGGTGTTGCTACAAGTCGCACTCTCTGGACACAGTGTGAATTTCGCTTGCTCTTTCTACAAAGTTTTCTTCCCCCGAGCATTCCTGCTTCCCCAGAGTATCTCAGGCCATTTTTCCAAGCCCTGTGTGAGAGCTCTTGGAGCAGGACCCGCCTCGCAGCGAGTGCCTGGCACCTTCCCTGGTACCTGCGTGAGGCCCCCAGGCGTTACCGCAGCACCATTGTTCTGGGGAATTGCTGCTTTTTAAAAAGCATTCAGCTCCGAGAAGGCTGCTCTTATTTGTGTGTTCCTGTATCTCCCTGATCCTCCAGGACTTTATGCAATACTCTCACAACACTTATCTGACAAGTGATCCTTGGGTAGGAAGGGTTTTGCTATCTCTGATCACTTGTGGCTTGTGCTGTTTATTGTGTTGTGGTTTGGTTTTTCCCCCTCTGTGTGTGTGTGTTCTCGAGGATGGTGTTGCTGGTCCTGACACGGGCAATAACACAACTGGAAATTGGGCAGCTTTATCAAAAATCTGTTTCAGTTCACATCACACTGGTTCTGCCAAAATGGTCTTTCTTAGAGTGATGGGGCTGAGTGATTTCAGTCATTCACTTCTGGCAAAGGTATTGAGTCAGTAAAAGACCACTGAGGATGAGCAGAAATAATCATTGATACCTAACTAGACTTTTCTGGCTTAACTGTGGCTTTTCTTTTGTTTCTGATAATTACTTTGTTATAATCCCAGAAATGTTGGTTGGAAGGGACATGTTAAATTCTTTTCCATCTTTTCTCTCCCTCACGGCATTCCTACTCCTTTTAAAAGTGCAGGGATCAGGCTCAAAAGCACAAGGGAAGTTGCCACAGAACCCTGGGACATCCCAGGCAGAATGAGGATGAGGTTGTGTCTCCCTCTGTAGCATTCTGCCATATTCCTAGCCTGGGATTTTAGGAAGATGATAATTTAGGAGTTGTTTGCAGTAGGATGGGAGGAATATTGTTTATAGTGAACTAATGCTAGAAATTTTCAGCCTTAGTATAAAATAGGGAGATTTTGAGGAACTTAGTCCTGCAGTGCAGTGGTATTCATTCATTCATTCAATTATTGTGCCATTTAATTAAAAGTTTTGTCTTATTTTCTTTTTTATAACTAGGAAAATATTTTTCCATTTGTTACAGAACTGTATAATGAATGCTGTTCTTTTGAAAAACAGAGAAAGTCCCTGTAGAGGCTGAATTTCAGAACTTGGGAGTTTCACCTAAATAGAATGAAATGCTTCACCAAAAAACACAATAGTCTTCCTGTTATACTTAACAGATGTCTCAAGGCAAGTCATTTTATAAACCAACCAATGTGAGATGGATAAGTAGATAAATAATTGTTGCATACAAAACAGCTTCTGTTTCTTTTCCCTGAAGGGCTTCAGGCCTCTTATATCGGCTTATGCTATATTTCAACATGGACAAAAATAAGTCTGTCTTCTCTTTGAAACCTTTTCAAACCAGCCATCTGCTTTGCCACTCATATTCAGATCTACACCAATATTTTTTCAGGGTAGGTGTAGCATGTGAGTTGGGATTTTTAACTCTTTCTAGTTTTTCTACTTCTATTTTTTTCTTTATTTAAAGGTAAGAAGTTCATTTAAAATAAATTTCTGGCAAAACTCAAAGCAGGCTGCATAGTGCTAGCTATGTTGAAGTTTGTATGTTGAGTGATAGCAATTGTGTTCTTTGGTTTTATAGTTGTTGACCTTTAAATGCCAAGTAACTTGGAGGGGACAAGGGACAAGAGAGGGAAATAATATCTTAATTATTTTTTGTGCCCTAGTGCCCCTTGCAAAGCAGACTTGTCAGCTGTATTGTGAGGATACAATGGCAAGAATTTGTATTCTATAAATATTGATGAAAAGATGTTTGAAGCTCATGAAAAATTTATTAGAAAATGTGTTGAAAGATGTTTTGGCTGCTGGCTGGCCACTGGTAACCATGCAGTGTCAAAGAGCAGCTTGTTTTGCTGGTAGGTGTTTATTGTAGAAAAGATGCTGTTTTCATGTACTAAAGGGCAGCTGTTGATGCTGAAATTGGTGTGGGCAGATCCAGGTTGCACTGTTACACTTTCCATTGTTTTGTGGGTGTTTTTTTTTTTTTTTTTTTACACTTTTTTGCACTCTTTTACTCTGTTTCCACTCTTGCAACAAAATGTTTAAGTGTTTCAACTCTTGAAATGTGGACAGGTCAGTGTTGAGGAGATGCTGAGACCAGGACAGTGTTCCTCATCAATGCCTATAGATCAGTGTTCTCTTGTCCAAATTTCCTCTGGCCTTTGAGGAGGCTGGAAGTTTGAATTTCTGATTGCTGGTGTCCCACAGTATCCTTGAGTGACAAAGCAGGAGAGGATGGACAGAGCAGAGTCAGCGTGGTGTGAGCAGATCTGACTGCTGGGAGGGTTGTGGCTGTGGCTTGGTTCCAGCCACAGCAGGAAAACAAGGGGGATAAACACTTCCACCATGAGCAGAGCAGTGGGCTTTTAGGGTGAAAATTTCCCTAACATTGATGCAGAAATAGATTTTTTAGATAGAAGTGTTACTTCCTGTGAAGTACCAAAATACAGCCATTTTTGTAAGCAGCTCTCAATAAAGGTAGGCATCTGTAAGTGTTTAAAACATTCCTGCTTTTCCCCAGTATGAATTTTAAATTTTAAGCTTCTTGTTGTACAGACCAAATGGTGACCAGTGTAACCTATTAAAGATAACTGAGGAAGAAGCCAAAAAACAAACCCTGAAGGTTTCAAGCAGCAATAACTGCAAAACAGGGATCATCATCTTATGGCTGGATTTATTTTTAGAGAAATATTCACGATGTTCAGGAGCCTGAAGGCAATTTGGCATCTCCTCATGCACCTGAAGGTGGCATCTGGGCATCCTGCTAGCCCAGCATGGCTCACGTGCTGTTTCTTTCTTGTGTCATCACTGGAGAGTTCAGAGAGCTGCTGTGTGGAGTGAGGTTGTAGGAAATGCTGACATTGCCGTGCAGCTGCTGTCACTGCAGAGCCCTGGGGTGATTGTGTGCCAGCATTTTCACTGATACTTCTTCTCTGCCCTAATACTCAAATATAAAACTTCTTGTCAGTGGGCAACTGTAGGCTGGAAATTTGGATGTCAGATCACCATTGCTACAACCAAGAAGTGTGTGTTTGTCACAATATGAAATAGGAAAATGTTATTCCTTTTGGAGGGGAAAAAAACCCCAGAACATTTGGGATGGGTAGCTTGCTCCCAAAAACCAAGGAGCTGAACTTTGAATGGCTTGTTTGGGTTATGGCAGTGCCCAGAGGTCGCAGCTGGGGTGAGATAAAGACAGGAGGGAGAAGTGCTGCCTGGATCTATGGCATGGAGATACAGCAGGTGGTGTGTAGGGGAAGGGAACCTTTATTCCCCTTTTTCTGGTTCTTGCCAGTGGGAGACCTCCAGCACAGAGGCCCAGTAGCAAAGTTTGTAAATTCAGCTCAGGTGTTGATTCTCAGATTCTTAAAGCACAAACTCAGCCATCTTAGATCTTCCCTCTGAACTGAGGATGCTGGGGTGGGGCTGGAAGAGTTCAGCTGATTCAGGAGCCAGACTGAATTTAAATGTCATTCCTCTTGATACTGCTTATTATTCAAAAAATGGGAAAAATAAATACAGGTTTTTTTATTTTTAAGGTTAAGAGGTTATTGTATCTTGCTGAGCCCTTTTTTGTTGCAGTTTGAGGAATTGAGTATTTTTAATAAGAGTAAGATGATGTGGTGGTTTGGTACTCCTGGAAATAGAGTATTCCAGTTTCCATCTGTACCCTTTTATTACTTCCCTGGTACCCTCTCTGGCTCTCAGCCCCTGTGTTGAGCCAGTTCAGGTTACTGAAGGGTTTTTGTTGACATTGCAGAGTATCTGAGGGAGTTTTGGAATCAGAGCAGGGAAAAGAGTAAGGCCTGTGCTTGGGGAGAGGGGCATAACAGCAGGAATGCCTCCCTTGGCAGCCAGAGCTGGGCTTGTAGCACTGAGCTGCATCCACAGCTCCACCATTTAGGACCTTCCTGTTTCTTCTCATCTCCATTTGCTCCTGGCATTGATTTCTTGATGTTTCCTTCACTGCTCTCACCTTGTTTACCAGCCTGGGCTACTTTTGGTTTGGTTTGCCTAGAACCCTCCTAAGTGTTCATTTCTGCCATGTTACCTGTGGGGAGGATGGAAGAAGGGACATGATGGTCTCCAAACTGAGATGTGTGTTACCTGATGAGTAACAGCAGAGTTCATTCTGTTCCCTCTAGCAGCCTCATTGGTTCTTTATTCCCCTTTATTGTTACCTGTGGGGAGGGTGGAAGAAGGGAAATGATGCTCTCCAAACTGAGGTGTGTGTTACCCTGCTGAGTAACCACACACTTCATGCTGCTTCCTCCTGTTCCCTCCAGCAGCCTCACTGGTACAGATGACTTGGCAGTGGTGCCTGTGCCCAGGCTTAGCTTGGCCCTGGTTGCCTAAAAACCTGGGAAAAGAGAACTGGACCCAAAGCTCCCAAGTGCCAGGCTGGTGTTTGTCCAAGAACCTCCTTCCCTTCGGGGTGTGACACAGCGCGGTCGCTGCGCGGTTGTTTCTTGTGGGGGATTTATCAATGGCAGAACAAATTTCTCTGCTGCTCTTGCAGGCAGGTGACAGAGCTCTTGGAGGCTTGGAGTGCTCTGTGCTGGCTCTGCTCAGCAGCTCTGAGGCCATGGGCATGAGCCGAGCATCCACTCAGGGTGGGGATCACCAAGAGACTTCCCAGTGATAACGGGTTCAGTTGGAATTCACTTGACCCACAAGTGAACCAGTGACCCAGAGGTGAAGGGCTCAGGCATTGTATCAAATTACAAATCATCCAAACCATCTACATCTTTCAAGCTGTTGATTATAGAAACTGTTCAATTTCTTGAGATACCATGTGTAGATAATTGGGAATGTTGTGCTAAACTGTGGAGCTTGCTGGCCGTCCCTGCTTGCTCATAATTACATGAGATATAGTCTGTCACCACGGAGAGACATCAAAAGAATGTCAGCTGACCTATTAATCTGCAAGCATCTGCAGATTCCTCATAATAAAGGTAATTGTACTTTGGTGCCTTTTAAGTTATCAGGCAATGTAAATTTTTTTTTTTGTGTACCTGAGAATTCAGTCACTGTAGTTCTTGTGCATGAGATATTCCCTGGGAAATGGAATTACTTAATTTCCAACCTTGTCTTCATAGGGCTGTATTTGATCTAATTTAATTTTATAGGAACCACCATATTCTTAGCTATAACTGCTACTTGGAAAGGTCAGTGTTTTATGAATACTATGATGATTATTCATGTGTATCATTACAGTGTCACAAAATGCTATGCAAGATTCAAATTTTCATCTCCTACAGATGTGGAAACCTACAGAAACTCTGCTGGCTTTTGTTGGAGTGCAGTGACTTAGCAGATTCTCTGTCTTTATATGGCATGTTTAAATAAGTTCTGTTACTGCAATGTTTATATTTGGCTAGAAGGGATACAGAGCATAAGAATAGTGTTTCTTTGTCATAGTCATGCATGCTGACCTAATACTTTTGCTTTCTGTCTTTATAATATTTATGCAGTATTTAACTTGACCAACAATGTGGACTTGGAGAACACCAAAAAGAAAATGGAGCTGTATCAAAAGGATAACAAAGAAGTCATTCAGAAGAATAAGTTAAAACTGGTTAGTTAACTTCTCTCCCCTACAATTTTATTCATTTGTTAAAGAATTAAAGGATTTGTGGAGTACTTTCTTAAAACAAATCAAAGCTGAAAGCACTTACAGGGTTCTTTGTATTTAAATATTGAGGTTGAAATGTAGTTGTGCTTTATTTTGGGGAGGGCTGGAGGAGAGGGGCAGCAGCAGAGGCTGTGTGTAATACATCAGCAGGCATGTGTGCTGGCAGTGGCGTTGGACAATGGCCAGGAGAGATGAGGTTCATTCCTACACCAGGACAATCGTTCCTTTCTCATCTGAAGGAAAAAAGAAATCCAGACCCAGACATTATGAAGCTCCCAGGAGAGAGTTGTAAAATTGAGGCAAAACACAGGCCTGGTTTGTGCAAAATTTGAAATGAAAGATGTTGAAACAAACATTAAAACTTTTGTTCAAGAGCTGATAACAGTAACATCAGGGATATTGTATATATAATCTGTATGCAAAACACAGGGTTCTTTGAAGATTCATTCATTAAATTATGGCTCACATATCATTTTGTTCTTTAAAAATAAACTTGCATGCATTTATTCCTGTAAGAAAAGTTTAATCTGTTAAATGTTTTTTCAGCGTAAAAATACACATTGTTATCAGTTCTTGAAGGAAAATGTCTGCCCAGAGTGTGACATAACAAAGGTTTGTGTTTGTAATCCAGTTGCACTAAGGACTTGCTTTCAAATCAGTAGGGGTGAAATCCTCACTCCCCTGAAGTCTGTGGCAAAACTCTGGGTGATTTCTTTAGCTCTAGGATTTCACAGGAGGAGATTGGAATCTGAAAAATGTTTGTTTGAACCTCTTCCTTTTAAAGGCAAGGAAATTTCCCTAGGGGTCCATCTCTGATCTGTTATCCTGTCTCTGACACTGTGCAATATCCTCTGCCTCAGAGCTTGAGGAGACCTGCCAGGGCTTTGGCTGTGTCTTATTTTACAGTGGAGCTGCAGCCTCTGGGGTCACAGTGGGAGCAGCTCTGCCTCAGCCCACCTTCCCTGCAAGGACAGGGGCTCTGACAGCCTGGCCAGGGGCTGGCTGGTGCTGTCAGGCAGCTCTCTAATGCCCTGTACCCCTCAAGCACTTCTGTTTGCTGTGCTCCACAGTCCTGCTCTGCTGGGCAGGCCTGTGTGAATCCAGACTGACTGAAGAGCTGGAAACATTTCTCCTTTTTTTTTTTTTTTTTCTTTTTTAACATTTGAAACAGTCATAATTTCTTTTTCAACAACTGAAACATAAAAATAGACTTTACACAGTGGTTATTACAAAAGCTGCATGATCTTGTCCATAAATCTCCCCCTCTCCTAAAAGCTGAAGGGTTGCTTTTCCTCTCCAGCTCCTCTTAGCAAGTTTTGAAATGTCTTTGCTCATGTGTGATGAAAGGTGTCCTCCTTTCTTGCTTAACCTTCTTATGGCCAGTCATTGTCCTTCTATTCTTGTCTTAATTTTTCTGTCCACTGTAGTAGGTTGAGGGATATAGATGTTTTCTGTCCCTCTTGTTTTTGTTACCCTTTGCCTGCTCCAGTGTGATTTGTGTTTGGCAGGCAGAAGGGGCCAGAATTGAATGCAGAGATTCTTAATGCCTCTCATAAAGGAAATCTGTTTTCCCATCTCTGCTGGAAATACATTGATCCTGAGACTGTTCTTCTCTTGTAGTTTAGAAAAAAAAGTGAAGATCTTGGTGTTCTTGTAGTTACAAATTGGTTTTTTTTTTTTTATATATAGATATTTATATACACTTTTTATTTATAAAACCTTTCACCCTGAGTGCAACTTTTCCACTGTTTCTCCCTTAAATATTTGCACTTCTCCAGTCATAGGGCAACTTGTTGCTTCCTACTTTATCACTAGATGTTTAATTTCACTTGCTGCTTTGTGCAGTCTTGAAATAGTTGTGTCTGGATTCTGTGATGTGAATGTGCCTGTTTTCCCAATTATCCTTTCCTGAATGTGGCAACACATGATTTTACTTTCTATTTACTTCTTCACTTGTAGGCTTGAGTTTACTCCAGGCTTCACTGTCATCATCTTTCCCTTCACATATTAGGACTGTGTTTAGATTATCTTTAGTCTGGACATAACCCTTGCTGCCTGTTGAACTCATCTCTTCTCTTTTACTGTTTAAAGAATTTGATCTGACACATGATAATTCTTCCATTTTCCTGTAGTCTGCTCTGGTTTAGGTTTGTTTATCAGTTTACTTATTTCAGACCATAATTTTTCCAGGCTGTTTCTTCAGACTAGGTCTGTCAGCACTTCCCTACAAGTTTTCTTCTGTTTCAGTGCAAATTCGAGGCAGTCTTTAGAGATAAATGTGGAAGAGCCTTGGAATGTCTCAAACACCATGAGCTCTTCTGTCCTGTTGACCAAACTAAATCCCTTAATTCTCAGACATAACCTTAGTTAGAAATTTGGGGATTTTCTTGATTTTTTTTTTTTCCTTTCATGAAATGCAAAGACAGCCCAATTCCAGGTGGTTGCTGGTTGGTGACCAGCTTTTTATCAGTGTCACTGCACCAGTTACAAAATGGAAGCAGCTTCTGTTGGCTTGGTGGCAGGTGGTGACATCTCCCAGGAGTAACTGGCTCTCACTGGGACCCACTGGCTCAGTTTGTCTGGTGAAGGGGGATTTTTTTTGGCAGATTCTGGCTTTTATTAGGTAGCTGTGCCTTGTGATATGACTTTATGATTAGAGCAAACTTTACTATTGTCTTGGCCTTGATAATGATCTCAGAATCCTAGAAGAACTGAGTTGGAAGGGACCCACAAGGATTATTGGGTCCCCAAGAGTCCCACCCTGTGCCTGAGAGCATTGTCCAAACCCTCCTTGAGCTCTGCCAGCCTTGGTGCTGTGCCCAATGCCCTGGGGAGCCTGTTCAGTGCCCAAACACCCTCTGGATGAAGAACCTCTTCCTGATATCCAACCTAAGCCTCCCCTGACACAGCTCCAGCCATTCCCTTGGGTCCTGTCACTGGGTGCCACAGAGGAGAGATCAGTGTCTTCCCCTGTGATGTTCTGCTGAAACTCCTTCCATCAGTAAATCATCCATTTAAGTTGATAAAATTTTAATTACTTTGCTGTTTTTTACTGCATCTCCCTTTGCTTTAGTATGTTAAATGGAGAAGATCTGGAAAATGTTTCCCGTATGTTTTTCCTTGTACCTTCTAGCAACCAAACTGACATTCTTTTGATCCACCTTCTTTATAAAATTGTTTAATCCTCTTATTTTCCTCTCTCTCTAAGCCTTCTTCTGTTGTTTTATTTTCTCTGTGATTTTCAAGTACAGATTACCTAATAGTTTGCACATTAAAAAAATCCTTGCCAAGCAATAGCTCTGTAACAAGAACTTGTCATTTTGAACTAGTAATCTTCCTTTTCATCTCGTGTCACGTGTCTGCAATCCAGGTTATAGCAAAAATTCTTTATTTTCTAAAAATGTGACATTTTCACAGTTAATGCTTAAATATATAGGCTTCCCTGTTAATATTCACATATTTGTAATTTCTCATTTTTCTTCTACACAACTGATAAGCACAGTGTGCTTTGCAAAGAAGATGCAGCTGATGAGTGGGATGATCAAGAGCAGTATTGTGGGATTATGTTTTTGTTTATCCTACTTACATCATTGAGTTATGGGATGTGTGGGAGCTGAGGGGGGCTCACTTTAGAGTGAAAGTGTAGGGAAAACTCCTTCTAAAACATTTAAGGAGTCAGATCTGACTCCAACAAGCAGCAAGTTAAAAATCTTAACTTTACACTGGGCAATGAGGAGGTAAAATAATCATCCATAATCATGTTAAAATTCTGCTTTAAAAGGTGTCCCGTTCTTGGCTGTTTTTTATGGCCTGGAAAGGCTCGGGATGGCCTTGGACAGCCCGTGCTCCAAAGGACGAAAAGAGTCTTCAGGTTTTTTCTCGGTCTTCAGTGTTTATTAGTTTTTTATCTACAAGATTTTCTCTCGGCCCGACAGAGGTCTGCACAGCAAGTCAGCCATGAGCACACTGAGAGCCCTCGGGGCGGTCACTTATCTTTATACCCAAAACTACGTGTAAGATATTTACCTATTTTCCCCAATGCTTTTCACCCTTATTGACAAGTGCACTTTTAGTAAGAACCAATCCCAAAGTGCCACCACCACCACAGAAGATGGAGGCCAAGAAAAAGAAGAACAGGACACGCCCCAATTCCTCCATCTTACTTCTCTAGACCCCCCTGTATCAAAATTCTAAAACCTGTGTTTCACACTATAATTAACCTATCCCTTCACCATTTATCCCAGTGAGATCCTCCCGTCCTCATACAGGTGTCATCTCCTGTGCAGGATCAAAGTCCAGCCACCAGACACTTTTGGCAACATTCCAGGACCTCCGAGCCCCCCCAAGGGTGGTCTCGGTGACTCTGCACCTCAGTCCTGAGGCGCTGAGATCCCACAAAAAGGCAGAATTTGGCTGCTTTCCCCTTGCCTGGCCTGGCTGGGCTCCTTGGGGGCAGTGGGGGTGCTGGAGCTGATTCCTGATTTCCCCTCAGACACGGGAGCAGGAGGAGCTGGAGGAGGCCCTGGAGGTGGAGCGGCAGGAGAGCGAGCAGAGGCGCCTCTTCATGCAGAAGGAGGAGCAGCTCCAGCAGATGATCAAAAGGAAGAATAAACAGGCACTCCTGGATGATCTGGTGAGTAACAAAAGCAGAGGTTTTGAAAGCTCAGTAGCATTGACATCCATCTCTATCACTGTGTGGAATTAACAGATCTGTCCCCCTTGCCCTGTTCTGTGTGTTTTGTGTTTCCATTCTCGCACCTGTTGTTTATTTCAGTGGTGCAAACCACTCTGGTTGTAGTAACCTAGGGGCTGGATGAAGGCTGCTGCTGAGATTTGTAGCTCAGCTCTACCTCTGTTGGCTTGTTAAGCAGTTCTGAGGAGTGGCTGAGGTGTGTGGAAGCAAAAACGTCATCAGGAGAAACTTCTTGGCTCAGCCACCTGTGCAGTGGAGATGGTGGAGAGCAGGGGATACTCATGAGTTATCCAAGTACTGCTCAGCCCTTTCTCAGTCAGAGCACCTTAATGATTGTTGGTTCCTTTCTATGCAAAAACTACTGTGACCGTGTTCACAGAGGTCTGAGGAAGAGGGAAGAGATGAAGATCTGACTCCATGTTTCAGAAGGCTTGATTTATTATTTTATGATATATACTATATTAAAACTATACTAAAAGAATACAAGAAAGGATTTCATCAGAAGGCTGGCTAAGAATAGCAAAGGATGGAATCATAACAAAAGCTTGTGGCTCGGACAGAGAGTCTGAGCCAGCTGACTGTGATTGGCCATTAATTAGAAACAACCAACATGAGACCAATCACAGATGCACCTGTTGCATTCCACAGCAGCAGATAACCATTGTTTACATTTTGTTCTTGAGGCTTCTCAGGAGAAAAAAATCTTAAAAGATTTTTCAGAAAATATCATAGCTACAAACTACTACAATGAAAAGTTTTCTGCCTTGAGTGTGTCATGTTCTCTTACTGCCACTTCTCCTGTACAAGCTGCTCCTTTTGAAGTGAATGAAGTTTGTATAGACACACAGAGAAAAACTCAGACTGCTTTTAGAAATTGAGGTAATCTTGATTAATTTACTGATTCTGCATCTGAAATGCAATAATGTGTGGGCATAGAGAAACTCACTCAATGTGTTACATAAACAAGGTTCACATCTCAATTTTTTCAGTGTGTACAGATATGCACACACACACATTCACAGGTTTAACATCCATGAGGACAGTCTGTGTCCACACAGCCTGTGTGTAACCTTGAGGGAAATCAGAAAAAAGAAGTATGTATGCATACATCCATGTGTTCAGCTGTGTCAGTGTGGTTTAAAGCTGCTTGGCATATCCAAATGATATTTTCTCTCTTATATCAATGCATCTCACACTAATACAGGATTAATTCCTGCCTTGTAGTCTCAGTTCTTATTCATGATACTGATGCTTTTATACTTTTCCTGAGAAAGCAGAGTTCCTCTCTGAGCCAGTGCACAAGGCTCTCACATGGAGAGAGGATCTAAGTGAAATTTAGGAGTTTCAGGGACTCCTGAAGAGACTGATGCCTTTCTTCAAGCCAGGATTCCTGACAACCTGTTACTGGTTTTCCTTTTGTAGGCAAAAGCAGAGGTGAGCATAAAGCTTTTTTTTTTTTTTTTAAAGTCAGGCCTTTATCTTTACATCCAACAATCTATTTTCACTTTAAAGGTAAATGCTTTTACAGCCCACACAATTAGGAATAGTGGATAAAATAATAAAAATTCCACTATGAATTTGAATTTAATTTCTCAGAATATGGATTTGGAGTTTCTGACTTTTTAAAAACCTGTTCTAAAACACACTTCTAACTGACTAGAGACCAGTGACTGATGTGTGGTTGTTTGTTTAATTTTTTTTCTAACACAGCATTTAGTTTTACTGGAAACCATCACCAGGTGGCTTGCAGAAAGAATAGCTATAAATAACCCTTAAAACATGACTAAAATAAGTAGTTTTTACTGTGATTGCATGTGTATTGCTATTAAAACATATCCTAATATTCTAAAAACAATATAAAGGTGATTTTTAAAGGCTGAGGGAGGAAACTGCACAGTTTCGAGTTGTGTCTCTGTTTCTGAAGGGGCAGTGTCAACTTAAATTCGAGCCAAAACTTGTTTTGTAATATTACTAAGGTTTATAAAACCAGCACTAAAGTGTTTGTGTAATGACTTACAAAGTCTCTGGAAAACCAGTGGTTGTTAAAGAAATAAACATTTCCTATGGTCTCTGAAATCTGAAAATGAAACTGATAATGAATAAAACTCAATTGAGAAATGCAGCTCAAGCCAAGCAGAAGCAGCAACAGTAAAGAATTAACTTAAATAATCTTACATCTGTGGCTCCTGGTTCTGTACTAAACTAAAAAGGATTCTGGCTACAGAAATACCACTGGTAGCACCACTGACTCTGCAGGATTGTGAGAGCAGAGGAAGGTGAGAATCTGACATTTTATAAACCTTACACCCAAATCTTCTCCTTTGGACAGATCACCTGCTGTGGTCAGCCTACAGCCCACACCTACTGGATCTTGGTAATTTTTGTTTTCAAGTTTGCCTCTGTCACTGGGCAGCAAGAAAAAATTAAGGACGCATTTTTTGTGTTGTACAAGTAGAGATGTCAGGAATTTTCCTTGTCAAGAAATGAATTTAAACTTTGGTGCTGAAATCTTACAAAGCTGCAGATCTCATGGAATCATGGAGATGTTTGTGTGGAAAGGTCCTTGGAGACCATCCAATTCCAAACCCCTGCCATGGGGAGGGAAAGCTCAGAGCCCCATCCAACCTGGCCTTGAACATTGACAGTGTTGGGGCATCCACAGCTCCTCTGGGCAACCTGTGCAGGACCTCACCACCCTTTGGAGAGAATTTTTTCCAATGTCTAATCTAACCCTGCCCTCTGTCAGTTTGGAGCCATTCCCCTTGTCAGGCTGTTGTAAAGGGTCTCTCTCCATCTCTTTTGTCAGCTCCCTTCAGGAACTGGAAAGCCACAATGAGGTCACCCCAAAGTGTTCTCTTTTCAGGCTGAGCAATCCCAAAGGCCTCATCCTTTCCTTGTGGGAGAGGTGCTCCTTCCCTCCCACCAGGTCATTAGATGTGTTACTTATGGTGGTTTCATATGGAGGAAAGATCTCAATTGTGTGCAAAAGTGTTTGAGAATGCTGTACCTCTTCAAAGAGCTGATCATTTAGTTACTCCAGAGGCACAGAAAAGTGTTTGGTGTTCTAAATGTTGTGCAGTGTGCCCTGGTTTGTGGCCAGCCTGGGGAGTGCAGGGGCTCCTGCAGAAAGGACCAGGCTCCATGAACCCATCCTTGGCTGGGAACAGGGAGGGGAAGGCCAGTGGGAAGTGCTGGAGAGATCAGCAAGGCATCAGGGGGACCCAGGCTCTGCAGGCCACTGGAAAAGCAGTTGGGTCCTTTTTGCCTCCCTAATTAGGCAATTTCTGTGTTACCTGCATTGTAGGCCACCTCTTTTTACAACAGAACCTCTCACTTTAAAAGCACAATACCCTATTGTGATTTAGACTTGCGGTCTCACATGTACTTTGTGCATCACTGGGAGAGCTGTATGAGTGTTTTATTTTGGGTTGTTGTTAGTTTGGGGATTTTTTTTTAACCTTGGATAATCCAGGCTGAGTAAAATATTAAAGCACTTTATTTATGTGCTGTACAAACTCTCTCACGTGTATAGAGAGGATTCTAAGATGATCTCTTGTGTTTTATGGGACTTGCACTTTCCTCTTCAACAGCCCATAATTCCCAGGCACAATGGGAGAGGAGCAGGTTTTCCCTGGCCTGTGGCATAGCTTGGAACCAGGCAAAGGCATTCAAGAGGTCAAATCCACACTTTCACCAGAACCTCAAGGGTTTTGAGACAAATCTTCCAGAAATTGTTGTGTAGAACCAGCTTTGTTCATAGTGTGGACAGTTTGTTTTCCCATACAGAAAATTGCTGGTATGGATAAATACAGGGTTGGAAGTTCCACGTGTGTTAATAGTTAACAGAAGGGCTCTGGGCATATTCAGAAGGACAAACAATCAGGATGTGGTGCCTTGCTGGCACACTGTGGCTTTCCCACAGTTGTGTAATCTGGTTACTGCTCATTGTGTGAACTCCTGAGAAGTTGGTTAAAAATTGGCTTCCTTGAATGATTTTATTAGAAATGCAGTGAGTGTTTAAGGAATATGAATGACAAAATGAACAGGAGACTGCTTTCCACTTTTTCCTTCTCCCCTAACATGTTAAATCTGGTCATTGAAAGAGTTCAACATCTTTAACCTCTGCTGACAGCACATGCTGCTGCATGCAGGTTAGAGATGTACAACACTTGAAAGAAGCAGACTCTAAACTTTGCATTTGTGGTCCAAATTGTCTCCCAGTTGTACAGAAGTTAGATATCTCTACAATTTAGTTTTTTAGCATCCTCCCTCCCTACAGAAATGCGAGCAGGAAGCTGTGCCTTAGATGTTGTATTTGTGCTTCTGGGCCAGATCTTGTCTTGTGAGATTTTTCTGCTTTTATCTTGCATTCTAGTGTTAAGGCAAAGTGAGTGTAATAAAATATAGAGAGGGAAAAAGACTGGAGAGTGATGTGTACAATGTGACTGTTCTTCATGATCACTTCAGAGGATTCCTCTGGGTACCATGAAAACAGCAAGGCATCTTGTGGCATTAAAAACATCCAACTGCTTACCTTCAACTGAATAATGAAAAAATCACAGTCCTGTTAATAAAATCTGCTTGGTTTTGTGAGTGACAAATATAGTTCCTAGTTCAATATTTGCTTGGCTCTTTGAAACAGGAGGAAATGTGATCTGTGAGAGCTTTAGGAATAAAATCCTGTGCTAGAGCAGTCCAGGAAGAATCTGAACTTCTTCCCTGCTCTCAACTTCATGGCAGATCTAGCCAGGAATTCTCAAGGATTTCTGTGTGCATGTAGATAGTCACATTAGTCTCTTAGAAAATTACTTAGCCAATAATTTCCTGACTCTCTCAAAAATACACTTCCATATATGTACGCTAATAATCATTCTGTTCTGACAGTTTAAGTAATTCATTTGCCTAACTATTCATTTTACTACTTTTTATGTCTATGTATGTATATATATTTAAAAATTGGCTGGCCTCCCTAAAAATAAGTTGCTGAAGGAGAAAATAAATATGCTGTTGGTTGCACTCACAATAGTGCCATTGTGCAGAGCAGAGCAAGGATCATTTCCAAACGGCCTCAGGTGAAATCTAATGGGAAACAATTTCAAACTGGTCTGAGTTCACTGGGAGAAAGAATGTGTCTTAGATAAACATCTGATGCAAGTTATACTACTCAGTATTATTCCTTCTCTGATTAAGTTCTAATTTTTTTTTTAATTTTAATAAATATTGTTGTGTTGGCCAGTTGGAATAAGGAGCCTGTTATATTGTCTTTAATGTGGATTCTATAAAAATGGTTGTTTGCAGGTTATTCTGATTTATGGGGTTGCTGCAGCTTTTTCTTATTACTGAAAATGATCCTTTTCTGTAAACTCTTTCTGAGGGAGAGGATACTTGGCATTCTGCTGTTTTCCTAGTGATGGCCTTGCAGTCACAGCTTGCAATTTGGAAGAATGCGCAGTGTTAATTAGTATTTGTTTTTGTCTAGGACTCAAATTTATTCCTCATATGTTTACAGGAGAGCTCTGATCTTCCTGCCTCTCTGCTCTTAGCTCAGCATAAGGACAGATCTACTCAGCTAGAAATGCAGCTGGAAAAACCCAAACCTGTCAAACCAGTCACGTTTTCCACTGGCATCAAAATGGTAAGATTTGCTTATTTGGTTTTTTAAATGCATTTCAGAAGATCAAGGAGTTCCTCATATGAAATTCAGAGGTTGCTTAAACCTGAGTTGCATGTTACATGAAATAGACTGTTTGCTTCCAATTAAATAAGTAATTAGGAATTAATTGAAGAATTTCATCATTGTGTTAGTTGGGATATTGTGATGACCCACCCAGCAGGGTCATCACAAATATATGGAACACTTTCATTGTGTAGTTGTCAAAAAACAAGCTATACCTCTCTCCCTGTGAAGTTCTGGTGTCCTTGAATTATCTTTCTTGTTTGTGTACCAATTCTGGAAGTTGAAATTTTTGAAGTTCAAGAATCATCTGCATTTTCTTCAGATTTTATTTTGAGCACTGGAGTAATCTGTATGAGACTGACAGTCTAGAAAATGGTGCCAAGGTTAAGGACTCGATTTTCATTTTTATTTGGCCTTAGGAAGCAACAAATATTTTTGCAAATGTCACCTTAGGGTGGCAGCTGAAGATCTCTGAGCATTCCTGTTGTGTATCATGACATGGCACAAGCACACACCAGCCTGTGTGCATAAATGTAAAACTGGGGGTGGGAGCACCAGTGACTGATCTTTTCTGCACCTTGCTGGTTTTCTGCTTTGTATTGTTTTAAATCTCTTTTTAGACTTTTTTAAAATCTACTTTTTTTAGACTTTGTGTTTTAGAATTGATAATGGCAAACTGAATGTCTTGAAAATAGCCAACACTCTCTACTCAAGAAACCAAGAAGTCAGCAAAGCAAAAATCTGTGCATCAAGCGAGTTTCCTATCAGTAATCAATTTATTTTTGCCCTGAATATTTGTGCTGTGTTCATTATCTGTTAAGGTGTTCACAGTGTGGAAGCATTTGCAGCTTATTTTTCCAAAAGCAGTGCCAGTTTTTGCAAGGCTGTGTGGATTGTTTTCTTGTTTTCCCGTGGTGTAAATTGATATTCTTCCTAGTTCTTTTAAAATCTAACAGTCTAGGGGAGATTGATATGCTTTGTGAGAGATTTTCTGTCTGTGTAGAAAAGCCAGTAGACAGAAAATGCCTCTTGTTCTGTTTAAAAAATACTGTCTGCATGGCTGTACTTTTTCTTGCTGTTAAAAAATATTGCCAGAATTTCCTAAAGCTGTGTCTTTTCTGTGTGCAAAGGAAGATCAGCTGATGTATGTGATGAGGACAGTGGAAGTATTTTCTAATTTGTTTAAAAATTAATATTAAATGCAGTATGTGGTAAATTAATATTGAATGCAGTATGTGGTAGTGGACATTTGAGATCTGCAGCCCTAAGTAAATTTCATCCAGGAATGATGAAAGACTTGGATGAAGAGATTTCCAGCAGCAGGACATTTAAATCCTAATGTCTGGAATAATAGGGGATATGCCAGATAACTAATTGCTAATTCATTACTGTTCAGAAAATGTGAATAGCTAAATAACTTAATTTGTTCAATCTCAGGAAACAAAAATTTCCTCACCCTGATTGATCTCAGTCCTTAATTGAAAAAGAACAATTTAATTGTACTTATTTCCATTAATGTTTTTTAATAGTAAGGTTAAGGATAGAAGCATTTGAAGTTGGTGACTACTATTTATGGGAAATGGATTGCATCAAAACCAACAAAATTACAGGTTTTGCTTAGAAAGATGAATGTTTCCTTATTTTCTTTACAGGTGCTTGATTTATTTATTACATGACTTAAAAAAATAGAAATTCTATTACACAATAATAACAATATTGATACTCTGAACAATAAATGAATGAAGTGTCTAACTTTGTAATTTTTGAAGAAGTTGGTTCCACAGCCTGGGAATGTTTCTGTGGGTGTTCTGCTAGGAGGCAGCTCAGTGCTTGGAAGCAGATGTTGAATTTCTGTGGATATGTGCAAATTGGCATTTACAGGGTTGCTTTGACAAACTGGCCTCATTTGAATGAGATGTGTTTTAATAAGGCTAAATGCAAAATGAGAAATAGGAGAGTAAATAAATCCCCAGGCTGGTCAGGCTCTGGGAAGAGGATTTGGATGTTTAGCTAAGCAAGTAAACCAGTTTGACCCTCAGCCACAGTGTGTGGGGGGCCTTGGGTATGTGAATATTCCAGCAATAAATAGGAAAGGACTTCTCCTGAATGCAATGTTGGGGAGAGTTGTGGACTGCAGAGTTCTGCTGGCTGCATTTTGAGTGCAAAAATCAGAAAGAACGTGAAGGGGAGCCACAAAAGTCCGTTCAAAGGTAGAAAATCTGCTCTGTGTGCTGCATTCTGCCTCTGGTTGAGGAGATGGTTCAGGGATGACTCAATTTACAGTGAGTACCTCCTTAGCACAGAACATGCCAGCTCTGAGCAGTACAGCATTAAATGTAGTTAAACAAATACCATCTAAATAGGAACTGAAGGAAGGAATAAGACCAAAAGTTCACACAATGTTCTGCTGGTTAATTGGCCTCACTGTTAAAACTGGCTCTGGCATGCCACAAAATCTCAAATTCTTGATGTTGTCAGATTAGGATTGGGGTGCATCTTGGAGAGTTGCTGTCGTTATCCAATGCAAGTTTGCTGGCCTTGGAGCAGGGTTAGGTTTGTGAGAAGCAGTTCTGCTCGCTGCACATGATCCAGGAGGGTGGGTTCTGTGACAGCATCAGGTGAATTCCCGCCTTGGGACACGCTTGTTTGCCAGGCTGAGTGTTTCCCTGAGAACTTGAGATGCTCAGTGCGCTCCTTTTGCGTAGGTTCACCCACGTGGAGTGGGTGGAACTTTTCTTGTGCTCTTTGTGGCTGCTTTGGCTTTGTTCCCCTCTAAACCACGGGGTTCACACCACTCCTGTTGGTGGGGCAGCTGGAGGGGAGCACTGAGAATTTCTTAAGAAATGCAATTTTAATTAATGCTCTGGCGCAAGAGTTCTGCAAATTCAGGACATTTGTGTGAAAAGTCTGGACTGTGCCCACTGTCAGAGGCTTAGCAGTGCACATTTAATGAATCACTATGTATGCCCTTCCCTGGGCTTTTATTTTTTCCTAATAGTTTGGCCACTGACCTTTTCTGATGGGTGTTTTCCTCTATTTTGTTTCAAAAGAAGGGAAGCCAGATAGAGCTAGCTGAGCTGCTGGCTGATCCAGAGCTGGTGTTTACACAAAGGCTGTGGAAATATGCCACTTGTGGCAATCCACTGGGGCTTTTTTCAGCTTGAACAGGAGTGTTTTTCCCTGGTCAGAGCTGTTCTTCTGCCTGACTGCTAATCAGACATGTTTCTTGGTGTCTGAGGTAGGAGCATGTCCATTCTAGTCTCCTGGGCAGTGCTCAGGGAAGTTGGCTCATTTAAAGTGTCATTTTAGTGCTGGGAGTTCCTCGGCTTGCAGGGGGAGGAGGGGATGTCTTTCTCTTGTAAGCTAAGCAAGAGCATCCCCTATAGCATGAGACAGACAAATAGCTCATGGGGACAGGGTCTCCTTCACTTTTCCTTCTGTGAAATTCCTTTTTTTTCTTTTTCTTTCAAGTGGAAACAGTTTTTCCTCTGTAGTCTGCTCTTTAACTTTTCCAGTAAGTTCTAGCCTCTGTGCACAAAGTTTACATTCCAAATCCATTTCAATTTACCTCTTTGAGTCGGGGGAGACAGTGCTGCCAGGCTTTTTTCCTTATCATGTTCATCATATTAAGAAATATACTTTCAGCACATCTGAATATTTTAAAACAATCTTATTAAATCAAATCTCAAATCAGGGTAAAGCTACAAAAGAAACTGTAGCAATCTTAATTGCTGCAATATTGCTAAAAATGAGATTTCCTGTCAATTGTGGTACTTCAGACTTTAGCAGATGTCAAAAAGAGCACAGTTGTCTGAAATGAATGATGTTTCCAGCATTTCTAGGGCTTGTCAGGAGGTGCAAAACAAGGTCTGGCAAGAGAACCATTCTGTTTCTTGGTGAATGTAATGACCATTTCTGGTTGTCAGGTAGCTTTAATGTGGAGCTCATTTTTAAGGTGTAAAAGAGATGCTCTCATGTATTGCAGACAAATGGCAGTTTGCAAATGCAACAGGAATGAATTGTTTTACATGAATTTAGTTTCCTTCTTATGTCTCTAGTGTTTACAGTACTGTAGAAGGCTTTTCTAGGTCTGTGATTTACCTCAGCATTGTGGTTAAAAATGCATAGAAGTGTGGATGTATTTAATTCCTCCTCAGCTTGTTGAACTGGGAGCACAGAACCTTTGAGTCCATGGCCCAGCTGTTTCCATGTTTGTAGAAAATCTGAGTGCCTTAGACTGGCTCAGCTGATGCCATCTCCAGCACATTTCAGGCTCTGTGTCTGTCCCTTTTCTTTTCCTTCCAGTTCTCTAATGTTTTTTTTTTTTTTTTTCCCATTTTCAAGAAGAGAAACATTACAGAACTGGAAGGACTGTCCTGGACTTTCCCCAGCTTCCCAGGACACTTAGCCTCTAGTGATGGTATTCTTGGAGTGATCATGTAGTTAAAAACTCAATTACCTCTAATTGGATTGCCCGAAAATGCTGGAAAACAACATAGGTGTATTTCTTGCATTTTATACCCAAATACCTCAGAATTAATGTAATGCATCATTGACCTTCCAATTCTTACCATCATTTTTATTTTATTACTTAATAGCAGTGGGAATATTTATTAATAGAACTATTAGTGCAGAGTGCTTTACCATGACCAGGATGGTCCCCAGCCCAGTGAATTTGCAGTTGAAATAGATGTGTCAGGGAGGGAGGGGAGGGGAAGCAGATGCCCGGAGGGGATGTTCTCACCCAGGATTAGCCAGCAGAGCAGTGCAGGAAGGAGGAACAGGATCCAGCCCTGCTGAATTCCTCAGCCCTGGCTCTTCCGCTGAGCCGGGCTCCATCTCCTGTCAACAGCACCCCTGAATGGCAGCGAATTAACAGTGAAATATCTGCTCCAGCTTCTGCTTCCCCGTCCAAATCACAGCAGCAGTGTTAAATATAACTTTGTGGCTCTGAATAT